ATGCAAAAACAGTAATTATGCTCTGGCTGGGGCCCTGTCTCTGCAGAGTTTGCACGGTCTCCCATGTTGTATGGGATTTCTCAGTGTTCTCCAGTTTCCTCCCACATCCCCAAGCTGGTTATGTGAGCTGAGTGGCTGTGTCTACACAGCACCTGTGTGGGTAGGTGTGAGTGTGCCCAGCAACTGGATGGCTCCTGTCCAGGCCTGGTGTCTGCCTGGTACCCTGAGCTGCCAGGAGAAAGTCTGGGCTCTAGCAACCTAGAAATGGAATAAGGGGGAAAATGACTCACTTGTGTTTGTTAATCTTCCCTAAATGTATGTACAGTTCATCTCCATGTTTAATACTAGAAGTGTTTTGGTCTTTCTATAGAAGTTTGGTGATGTTTTTGTGAACAGAAATATGCTGTAGGAAAAACTGGTTTTGTTATACTTCGTTTCACTTAGTTGCAGTTTCCCAGAACTTCTTGATGTTGATGACTGACTTGTGACCATTTTTCTGTTTCATGAAATATACATATATATATTTATATCATACATATATATATTGAATCAGGGTCTCTGTCTCTCAGGCTGGAGTGCAGTGGTGTGATCACTCAGGCGATCCTTCCTCCTCAGCCTTTCAAGTAGCTGGGACTATAGGCATGTGCTGCCACACTCAGCTGATTTTTAAAAATTTTTTGTAGAGACTAGGTCTTACTATGTTACCTAGACTGGTCTCTGTCTCAGCTCAAGAGATCTTCCAGCCTCAGCTTCCCATAGTGCTGGGATTACAGGTGGTGAGCCATCGAGCCTGGCCTCGTATCATGAAATGTTTTAATATTAAGACCTCCCTGGAGATATCTTGTTCTATAAGTTTGGATGGGGCAGGTTATGTGAATTTTTAAAAAAATTTTCAGGTGATTTTGATGTGTGCTTTTCATTAAACGGCATACCAAGTTTTCCATATATATGTTCAGTTTCTAGGCCTTTTATTCTGTTCCACTAGTCAATGTTTCTAGCTCTGTGTTAATCCCACACATTTTGATGCTGAGTGATGTGGGGTGTAGTTGAAATAACTGCCCAATAATAATAATAAGCCTTGTTATGTGATAGGGAAAGTCTTCCTCCACCCCCAACTGTCAGCCCCCAGTGTGCCAACCCCTGGTTTAAATGAACATGATGCATGTTTGAATATAGGCCCAGAATGAAGATTCTCAAGAAAGCATTAAAAATAAACTTTTCAGCCAATGTGTAGCTGCAGAGTTTTAAATTTCGTTTAGATTTGGCATATCACTTTATTTATTCAAAAGTATTTCCACAAATTTTTATCCACAGCTGAATATTACAATGACTATTACAAGCATTTTTCCATAAACAAAGGTATAGTTTACAGATTTGTTCAAAATGGAAAAATATTTTCATCAGTAGTATTTCCTCTATAATGTTAGATTTACCCCTGAATATGACATGAACTCTTTGACAGTCGGTGGCAAAATGTTATATCCAAATCTGGATTATTCTGATACAGTGTTATTTTAGAAAGTAGCATAATTTCATTTCTGATTGATCTCTAATTAGAATTAGAATTTTTTTTTTTAAACAATCTTTAGAATCTAATGAGTTTTACAATTTAAAAAACTCAGTCCTATGTTTTATCATGGGTATTAACTTCTAATTGTCTACACACCCTAATTCTCTAATTGTGACACCAGTGGTTACAAAAAAGTGAATTATGGTCATTTGGCTCATGCAGCAAATTAATTTGAGACACTGACCACAAATATTACGTGAGGAAAAACTGCAGGGTCCTGCCCCATGCTGTCACATTTTAGTAATCATGTAGTTATATATGCATTATACACAAATGCTTCTATTTAGGATACCCTTGCTGCTTTAGTAGGTCAAGTATATGAGAACAGTTTACTTTATGTAAAAACATGGATTCTAAATTATTTGTTCCTATAATCTTGATGCATCAAAGTTCTGAGTAAATAGTTGATGAATTGATGCTGGCAGTGTTAATTTTTCTCTAAATGTTCCAAGCTCCTAATTGTGTAGTTTGTTGTTGTTGTCTTTTTTTTTTTTTTTTTTTTAATAAAAGTCTTAAAATTTAGAGCTGGGGAAATCAAGGGAAGTAAATCCCACTGACATGCTCCATGGAAAGGAGGAACAAAGTCTGCCTTTGGGTCTGCCTCCCAGGTGAGCCTACAGGTACCATAACTTGATGCAGCTATGATGGCACTAGGAAAGTACATGTAAGTGATATACACTTGTCAGCCTCAGCAACAATTCACGACTACATACACATGTTATTACAGGTAAACACGTACCATGTAATACTTAAAACAAAAATTGTTTGATCTATAAATATTTGAGTTGTAAGTAATCTTTAAGGTGCTTCTAATATTTTAAGACAAATCAAAACTCCACCATGATGTTACATTGAACATTAAAAGTCTTCCCACAGTAACACTTATTTCAGAGAAACAGTTGATATGTCAGTTATCTTAATAACTGCTAAAGGCACATAGTGAGAAAAGTGTCAACTAAACTTTAAATATTAAAAAATAAAGATAGATACCTAATACAGAGTTCAAACCTTTATGTGGACTAAGCTGTTTAAAAGTCATTACTGATTTCATGACATTGGAAAGTGTTTGAGTTGAACTGACTTTAAAAAATGCAGAGAATAAAAATGTTAACAAAAGATTATGAAAGTTTCTCTAAAGATGCTTCTTCTAGCCTCCACGTATTGTGTTAAATAGGACAGATCTAAACATTAAGTAGCCAATTACTGTATTTCTTTACTGTTAGCCACCTGTAAATTACAGTTCCTGTGAAAGACCTTTATCTTTTGGAGGAGGAAAACAAATCTGCCATTTGTTAGGCTAAGTAAGGATTCCCCCCCACTGATTTCAGTGAGCCCTTGGCCACTGATTGACCAGTGACAGTAGAGAGCAGTGATCCAAAAAGGTGGAGACAATGAAGGTGTAAGACAGTAATAAAGACAGTAAGCCAGTATATATATGGAATCACTGCATGTCAAAACTCCTTCACACTCTAACAAGGCATTTTTGGTTATCTTTAAGATCAGAGTCCTTACAGGAGAGGCTCAGCGTAAAACTAAAGTGCATCAAAGAGCAAATTATACTTCATAAACAACTTTGAAGAGGTAGCCACAAACCCGGTTGTTTTGAGTCTGGCCTTTCCACATCAGCATGTGGGCCAAAGGGTGAGGGGCATGAACGTCAGTGACTGTGTGTTCCTGACTGCAAAGGAAGGGAAAGGCACAGCTCTGCGCAGCCACCCAAGAGTGGCTGGGATGTTCAGTGTGGAAGTAGAGAGCCAATGCCCATGACATAACATGCTAGGCCTTGTTGTGGCCCCACAGATGAGGAGAATGACTGCCTAAGAAACTAAGGGCACAGGACATAAGGCTGCTTAGGGCTTGGCATGTTTTGTGTTTTCCAAGAGCCTTTTAAGTTGGGTGGTTGAGTAAAAGAAGGTGAGGTGGGAGGAGGGGGTGTTCTACCTCTAGTTCATGGAGAAACCTTGTCTATTCCATGTACCACAGTGGCCTTTTTTAAATGATTTGCAGACACAATCTGTTCCTATCATGAGAACAGCATATTGTGATCAAAACATAAGGAAACAATAGCATCTCATTAAATGTTTGCTTTTAAAGAGTTCAAAAATAAAATAAGAGCAGCAGACATCTAAGCCTGTTGTTGTGTTATATTGTTACTGAATTCACTTTTTAAAATCCTTATTTCATAGCAGAGATACATATAGTGATTTTTTTGTGGTAAATTTGAAAAATGTTGAAAACCTGAAAAGGGAAAGTGGACCTAAGCTATTTTATTCTCTCTCTCAAAAAACAAACAAAAACCTGTCAAACTTTTGTACAATGCTCACTGATCTGTTTATTTTTTAAAGTTTTTCAGATCTGATTCTTGAGCCAAAGTTTGTTTTCAGTTACTGTTCTGGTTACTTGGAATAGTAGTGCATTATGTGATGCTTTTACTGGAGGTTTGATGGCATTAAGAGACTAAAAGCTTTCATACTGAATTTTTTTTTATATCTGCAAATAAGAGTTGTTACTCTTTTCTAATATTTAGTTCACAGATTTTTGTGAAAGTTTTGTTGGGCTTGATAAGTGCATGAAGTAGCATCAGAAACAAAAGAATATTTTTTCCATCTTGCTCACATTTGAGGTTTGGGACAGCAGCATTTTTATCATCTCTTCTATAAACCCAAGACTGCACAAAAGAATCTGAGCACACTAGGGACTGGGACTTCTAATTTGCTTCAGAAACCAATACTTGAAATGTTTAGCTTGGAGGTCAGTTATACTACTGTCTATGTATCACCAGCCACTAAAAGAATACCTTTGGGAAATTTCTCAGAAGGCCAAGGCCCATGTTTTTGTTCTTAAAATGTCTCACTACAAGCCGGGCTCGGTGGCTCAGCCTGTAATCCCGTGCCTTTGGGAGGCTGAGGTGAGTGGATTGCCTGAGCCCGCGGGTTCGAGACCCGCCTGGGCAGCGAGACCTCATCTCTGCAATAAATCAAAAAATCAACCAGGCGTGGTAGCGCATGCCTGTAATTCCGGCTACTGGGAAGGCTGAGGTGGAAGGATTGCCAGAGCCCAGCAGGTCGAGGCTGCGGTGGCCGGGAGCGGCCACTGCACTCCAGTCTGGGCAACAGAGTGAGACTCCCACTCAAAAAAAAAAAAAAAAAAAAGTCTCACTACAAACTCACTCATATCTATCAATCTGGGCAAATGTCAGTATATGCCATTATCATGGTTATTAATATCATTGTTAAAAGTCCTTTAAAGGTAAATTTATGTGACTTACATATTTTTATTATTATTTGGACATTCTCCAGTTATACGCAAAGATAAAAAGCAAGGCAGCTTTATTTTGTAGAATTGGCACCTTTTATATGGTCATAGAATTGCTTGGTTGGCTATAAATTATGATGTATTTTTTTAGACTAAAATCAAACTTTTAAAAAACTTCCATATTTCAAGTGTTTTTTTTATTCTGAGAAGTAGGTTCAAAAAATAATGACATAGTTGTGTCTTATTCTGTGTAGTTCAGCACTCTCCACAGGCTGATCTCTATCTACTTTTACCAGATTTAATAAATCCTTGAATTCACTTTACATCTTTCAAGCTAATGCTGGAAATGCATATCCTCAGACTTCATTGAGGAACTCCAGATTGAGACATGCAGGGATATGGATTGAGTCCATAGTCAGAGAAGATGGATTAAATGGAAACAAAACAGGAAACATGTGCTTAGAGTCTAATAGCAGCTGCTGAGGGTCATTCCGCTCTTGTAGTTGTGCCTGTAGGGAAGAAGAAGACCATGTAAAGTCTTTGTACACCTCAAGACAGCCAGTTCAAGTGGATTCACAGAGGTGACTTGGCATAAATCACAGAAAGATTTCTTAGACACTCAGGTAGGACTTCAAGACCAGGGGAATGTCACCTTCTTATCCCTGAGGCATTTAGTGGGGAGAGAAGCCCTGGTCTGGACTTTTTGGAGATCAGATGACTGTAAGGATTCTCCCAATTCTAGCATTCTTTAACACATTTTCCAACTAAGGGAGAAGATAAACATGCATCTCAGGTGCAAATCATATGGAAAAGCATTGAAGTGGTTAAGGGCATGGGTTCTAGATGGTAGACAGCCTAAGCTCTGATCCTGGCACCACCTTGGGCAAATGTTTGAATCTTTCTATGACTCAGTTTCTTCATCTGGAGAGTGGGATGGAGGAAGAGTAATAGTGCATAAAATGGCAGAAGAGGAAGCTCTAGAGGTTGGTCCCTTACAGAAGCAACCACTGAACCAGAAACAGTGATTGTCATCAACTGTCTTGGAACTCTGGAACCTGACTGGCACTCAGAACTGGGAGAGTGATTGATGAAGGGAGAGGCTGCTGATTGCTGCTAAGAGAGCAGTGTGTGTGAACCAGCTGCCATCCCCCATGCTTCAGCCTTCCTGCAGCTGTGGAGATAGCAGCTTGCATTCCTGAAACAACTAGCTGGTACCAGGGCAGGCAGTGAAACACTGTCCTCCAAAAATTTGGGGATGTACACTTTGGTTGGTCTGGTGGGTACCAGCACAGATGCCTTCCTTGTTTTAGGCATCTCTTGGGATGCAGTGATTTCCCATGGTCTTTTCCCCTTCCTCTCCATTGTAAGCTAGACATTTTAGAAAAAGTATAGTAACTGAAATGAAAAATTCACGAAAGGAGTTGAGCAGCAGACTTGAGCAGGCACAGTAAAAGATCAGTGGACTTGAAGATAAGGCAATTGAAATGAGCTAGTATGAGAAGAAAATTAAAAGAATAAGTAAAATTTAACAGAGCCTGAGAGACCTATTAGATACCATCAGGTGTACAATCATATACATTATAGGGGTATCAGAAGGAAAAGAGGAGGCGGCAATGAAATATTTGAAGAAATAATGCCTGAAAACTTCCCGAACCTGATGAGAGACATGTATATACACATCCAAGAAGCTTAACAAACTCCAAGCAGAGTAAAGTCAGATTTACACTGAGGCACGTTCTAATAAACTGTCAAAACTGTAAGTCAAGGAGGGGGATCTTGAAAGCAGCAAGAGAGAATTGACTTGTCTCATACTGTTGTCCCTTGGTATCTGCAGGGGATTGGTTCCCAGAATCCCCACAGATACCAAAACCTGTGGATGCTCAAGTACTGCAGTCAATCCTCTGGAACCCAAAAAGTTGGCCCTCCATATCCACAGGTTCTGCATCCCATAAATACTGAATTTTTGACCTGTGGTTGACTGAATATGCAGATGTGGAACCTGTGGATGTAGCACTGACCATATAAAATCTCCTTCAGTAAGATTAACAGCTGGTTTTTCTTCAGAAACCTGGAGGTTGGGATGACATAGTCAGAGTCCTGAAAGAAAAAACTTATCAACTGAGAATTATTTATCTAACAAAACTTTTCTTCAAGAATGAAGAGAGCTGGGCTCGGTGGCTCAGCCTGTAATTCTGCGCCTTTGGGAGGCTGAGGTGAGTGGATTGCCTGAGCCCGCGGGTTCGGGACCCGCCTGGGCAACTTGGTGAGACCTCATCTCTACAATAAATCAAAAAATCAGCCAGGCGTGGTAGCGCACGCCTATAGTTCCAGCTACTTATAAGGCTAAGGTGGAAGGATCGCCGGAGCCCAGCAGGTCGAGGCTGCGATGGCCGGGAGCGGCCACTGCACTCCAGTCTGGGTGACAGAGTGAGACTCCAACTCCAAAAAACAATGAAGGAGATATTAAGCCTTTTTCAGAGACAAGGACATTATATTTTGATAAAAGTTTCAATCCTCAAGAAGATATAAACATATTTGCACTTGGCAACATATATGAAGCAACATATATGAAGCAAAATTTAACAGAATTAGAGAGGTAAATAGTTATATGGTAATAGTTGGGCACTCTAATACCCTATTTGCAATCATGGGTAGAACAGCCAGACAGAAGATCAATAAGCAAGCAGACTGTGAACAACACTAAAGCAACATGACCTAACAAACATAACGTGGGACACTCCCCTTAGCAACAGAAGAATACACATTCTTCTCAGTGTACATGCAACATTCTCCCGGATGGACCTATGTTACGCAAAACAAGTCTTAGTAAATGTAAAAAGACTGAAGACACAAAAACGTTTTTTCCTCAGTACAATGTAAATTAAACTAAATATCAGTAGATGAAGGAAAACTGGGAGATCCACAATTATGTGGAGGCTGATGTGTTATTTAATAGCTGATGTGCCAACCAAATTCACAAGGGGAATTAGACAAGTGGAAATACAATATACCAAAACTTAGGGGATGTGGTAAGAGTAGTGCTAAGGTAAATTTACAGGTGTCAGTATAATCTAATTGTACACACTTCAAGGAACCAAAAAAGGGGCAAACTAAGCCCAAACTTGGCAGGAGGAGAAAATAAAGAAAAACTAGATGGAAATAAGTGAAACAGAACAATAATACAAAAATCCAAAAAATTTTTAAAACAAAGTCAAAAACTGGTTCAAAAAAGCTGACCAGGCCAGGCTTGGTGGCCCAGCCTATAAACCCAGCACATTGGGAGGGCCAGGCGAGTGGATTGCCTGAGCCTGGGATTTGAGACCCAGCCCAGGCAACTTGGTAAAACTTCATCTCTGCAATAAGTCAAAAATTAGTCGGGTGTGGTCGTGCATGCCTGTAGTTCCAGCTACTTGGAAGGCTGAGGCAGAAGGATCACCAGAGCCCAGCAGGTTGATGCTGGGGTGGCCGTGAGTGTGCCACTGCACTCCAGTATAGGCGATGAAGTGGGACTCCAACTCAAAAAAAGAAAAAAAAAAAAAAAAAAAGACAAATCTTTAGCCAGACTAAGAAAAAAAATAAATTAAGAAATGAAATTACTAATGTCAGAAACGTAAGTGTGGAAATTACTGCCAATATTACATAAGTAGGATTATAAGATAATACTAGGAACAGGTTAACACCAATGAATTGGATAACTTACATTAACTGGACAGAATCCTAGTAACACTCAACATACCAGAACTGATTCAAGAAGAAATAGAAAATCTGGATAGAGCTATAACAAACAAGGTGATTAAATTAGTAATCCCCAACAACAGCCCCCCCCACCCCCATTGGCTTTACTGGTGAGTTCTACCAAATTTAAAGAAGAATTAACACAGTTCTTAAAGTCTTCCAAAAAGCCGAAGAGGAGAGCACTTTCTGACTCAGTCTGTGAGGCCAGTAGTACCCTGATATCAAAGACAAAGACAATTCCAGAAAAGTATATTCATTCCTTATGAATGCAGATGTAAAAAACCTCAATAAAATACTAGTAGATTGGCCAGGTGCGATGGCTGAAGCCTGTAATCCCAGCCCAGGGATTCAAGACCAGCCTGGACTATTTGGTGAGACCTTGTCTTTACAATATATAAATACATAAATTAACTGGGCATGGTAGTGTGCACCTGTGGATCCAGCTACTTGGAAGGCTGAAGTGAAGGATCATCTGAGCCCAGAAGGTCAAGGCTGCGGTGGCCGTGAGCGTGCCACTGCACTCCAGACTGGGCAACAGAGTGAGACTCCAACTCAAAAAAAAAAAAAAAAAAAGCAAATAGAATTCAGTAGCAGATTAAAAAGACTATACAACATGAACAAGTGGGGTTTGTTAGTCCCGGAATGTTAGTCCAATGGGAACCTGACCTGTGAGATATTTCTGGAGACCCCATTAAGGGTAATCTGTCAAGGTGCCTTCCCCTAAAATATAAAACAGATATCTCTGGCCCATGAAACTAGACCTCATGAAGGGGTGATCTGTCAGGGTGCTCACTTTGAACCTAAAAGTTCCCACTTTGAAGTTGACAGGTAAACAGCAATGTACCAGGTGATAAAACCCCCATTGGTGGTTGTGAAACCCTGCTTATTTCAAGTTACAGAACTTCTGTTTATTTTAGGCCATTTGGTCAAACAATCCTGTGACTCGGTGGGTCACCTGTTCAAACAACCCTGACCTGGTCCTATATTACCTATCTTAGGCCACCTGCCCAAAGCATCTCCTAATCTGACCGTATATAATCAACTCCCTTCTTAAACTTGGGGCTGATGCCACCTTACGCTTACCCTGGCAGGAGTGCTTTTAATAAACTTTGCTCTTTCTCAGTTGTCTGTGTTTCTCCTTTGGTGAACTTTACAGGATTTATCTCCAAAAGTTGGTTCAGCATGCAAAAATCAACCAGTGTGATATACAACATTAATAGAATGGAGGAAAAAAACCCATAAAACTGAACTGATGTAGAAAAAGCATTTGACAAAACCCAGCTTCTTTTCATGACAGAAAAACCTCCATAAACTAAGTAGAAGGGAAATTCCTCAACAAGATAAAGACCATATACAAAACCCTTTGCACTTGGATGTCCCCTCTGAGGAACATCATAAATCTAGCAAACCACTCAGATGTCTCCTCTCTGGGACATAAGATTGCTGGTGACGACTATACAGGACAAATTTACACCAGCACACATTCTTCAAAAAAGTATGTTTCCTTGGAGTTTTCCATTCAAGTTGCATGTAAAAGCAAATAAAGACATGGAACATATACTGAGATACATGTTTTAAGAAAAAAAGCTGGCATTATGTATCAAAGGAAATATGTGGCGTGCTTTCACAGTGGTGCACAGACTGGACAATAAATTACATATTATTAATGTGGGAGGAAGAAAATGAGACTGCACTGTCTGCTTGACTAGAAAAACAGCAGGTGGAAGACATCCAAGAAATTACTATTGCACAACATGTATCAGTGACCCTGCAA